TTAAATAAAGCTAAAACTAATCTAAATAAAATTCATGCTTTATTCCGTAAATTAAAATAAAAGAGCTAACACTGTAGCCTTTACATTTAAAATCATTTGATTGAAAGCAAACTAGCATTATGCTAACTCATAATAACACATAAGAGAACAAGACATTCGCCAATACCGGCGCTCGTATATGTTATACTCGGCCAACCTGCTGATCTTGACGTCAGCTACCAATCAGCGGCAACCACGTTAGCTTACCGCCGATCGACCTCCGATCAAAATTTGCATGTGGAAAACTAAAGCCAACACTTTGTAACAAAAAACATACCTGATAAATTTAAGGCAGAGATTCTTTTGAATTTGCTAGGTGAGAAAGCTTCAAACATAATTTCGGCTGGCCTATATTTGACGATGCACAGTTATTGTTTCATTTATGGGAACCTGAGTAAAGGGTGCCCATTTGATTATCGCTAAGTTGTTGTTTCATTTATGGTAACCTGATTAGTTGAATGTTATGAAAACCCTATCATGATGTAATTGGTTGCGTGAATTTGACTGATGGGAAAAGATTTGTAAGGGCTTTGTTTGTGTGTTGGATGTTGGTTAGGAAGTTGCTTATTTTGTGGTTTACACTATAAAACAGCTGAATGCAGTAAGATTAATTTGAAATTTCTATAGGATTTCAAACAAAGGGGGGGGAAGCATTAATTGACTGGTGTGTAAATGAAGGTTTACTTAATAGCAATTAGAAGTGTCCTGTTTGTACAAAGAAAATGCATATGGTCGAACGTAAAGATCGTTCAGATGGCTTTGAATGGGTTTGTCACAAGAAAGGTTCAAATGGTCACCTTATAAAGTGTTCCGTTAGAAAGGGAACTTGGTTTGAGGAAAGTTTTTGGATGCTGTTTAGGAATTTTGTGTGCCACAGACAGAAGACAGAGAAATTTCTAAATAAGGCTATTTCCTTTGTGTAGTGCATAGTGCTTTTTTATGTTATTTCATTGTTTGATTTGAAACACAGTTTATTGAGATTATATATTTTTTGTGCACAGTGTGTGCAATTCTGTGATTTTTTTTTTTAGTGAAAATAGGTTGATGTGTACATGGATACCGAGTTTGTGCATTTCTTTGACATGTTATTTTGGCTTTGTTTAGCGGTGATTTTTGGCGCGAAAATTGCTGCTAAACAAAGCTAAAATAACAAATCAAAGAATTGCATAAACTCTGTGTCCATGTACCGCCAAAACTCGCCAAGTTCGCCAAGGGAGCACTGTCAAATATAGTTTTAACCATAATTTTATACATAAGTGATAATGAGTTGAGTGATAATGATTAAGTAAAGAAAATTGTATTACAAGAATCCAAGCCAACGCCTCAGTTGTTGTTTTAGATAACTCAGAAAACTACTAAGCAAGCAAATGAAACCCATGTGCAATTTCCGTTGCATTTGATGACTAGCTTTAATTATTATTTAAAATTAAGAGAAGTGTTTACTTTTGAAAAACTAATGTAATTAATTTTATCGGTACTTATGTATTAACACCACTGCAGAAGTTGCACTGATGTGCCAATAAAGAGCAATCCTGTTGTTCGCAAGCAGTTATCTTTTGTATTCCTTTTTGCCTTGTTGTTTGCTGATTTTTTACACCATTTTTTAGTGCTACAAAAATGTGTCATTGGGATTTGCCAAACACAGAAGAAGATGCAATTTTATTTTTTTCAGGAGCGAAATATTTTACTAAAAAAAAATGTACCAATTCACATGATATGAAACTTTATTTTGGTAAACGTACGTTTTGGAAATGTAATTTAAGCCAGTGTGATCAGGAAGTGGGACTTAGAAAAAACAACTGGTCAGAAGGAACCAGAATTCCATTTTGTTCAATTCAATGTGAATTTGAGATTCATATACTGCTGGTGCGAGGAGTTGAAGTCGATTAAATTTTGTGAAAAGCAACTTGATTTATTGGATAAAACTGTTATAGATAAGAACAATTACATATATGAATTATGTGTCTTGGATATGGAGAATAAATTAAACAAGAAGGTAGTTGGACCTGATTGCATTGTGGAAATTGATGAAAGTTTGCTTACTAAGCGTAAAAATAATTGTGGTCGAGTATTACCCGAACAGTGGGTGTTTGGTGGTATATGTAGAGAAATGAAAGATTTGTTTGTTGTCACTGTTCCTAATAGAACTGGCTCTACCCTTCTTAATAAAATTATTGAAAACATTGCAGATGGTAGCGTGAATTTATTTTGACTGTTAGAGAAATATTACCAAACAAATAGAATAGAAAAAAAAAGGATTTGTACATGCTAAAGTTAATCATAAATACAATTTTATTGATCCTGGTACAGGAGTTCATACACAAACAGTTGAGAGAATATGCGGTAGTGCTAAATGAAGGAACAAGAGATATAGGAGGACTGCGAGACATCATTTAGAATCTTATTTAGCAGAGTTCATATGGCGACAGCATCAGTTCGAAGAAATTACAGACTGTTTTGAATTTTTTGTTTAAAAACCCATCCCTTAAATAAATGTAGAAATTATATGGTATTGCCTGTTTCTGAAAGAGTAGAAGTAATAAAGAAAATAATTACTTCTTTAGTTGTTTGGGCCACTATTTGGTTAAATCTTGGTAATTCACAATTTTCTTGCCTTTATGTAAGAGAAATGGAGTAATCAAGCACCATCATGTTTCTTTTCATTATCTGAGAAGTTCAGAGTCACCGTGAATTTCATTCCCTGACTGTAAGAGAAATGGAATGTTTATTGCCACATGCCCCAGTATTTCAGACATCTATATCCTCTTCATGTAATCAAAACAATAATTCTATGCTGTTTTCGTAGATGATAAATCAGGCGAAAACCATTTTTCTGAGTATCGTAAATTGTTTATTGAAAGATGAAAGAGAGAATAAATACAGAGTGCAAGTGCTTTTAGATCAAGGAGGCATGAAAACTTATAGGAAGGCAGACTGTGTGAATAGCCTTAATTTAAAGAGAAAGAAAACTAATTTGACAGTATGTGGTATCGGAGCTACATTCGCAACAGTGCGACTGTTTGTTAGTGTGACTGTTTCTAACTCTGAGAGAAAATTTGAAAAAAAAATTAGATTTTTGGATTGCATCTAAAATTACAGATTCCATGCCATCAAAAATATTTAAGATTAATATACCAGAATTAAAATATATAAAATTCAAGGAAGAAAATCTACTGCCTCAAAAAGGGCATTAGGTAGAATAATTTTGGTGAAGACAAATGGGTCAAGACTTTTTAAAGTAAGAACTTAGTATGGAGTCTACAAATGACCTATTTCAAAAATCTGCATTTTACATATTGATAGGTAATCTCATATTAGTGTGTTATATGCAATTTAATGTTATTATATTGTATTTATTTTCCATTTCCATTTGAAATAACTGTATGATTTAATAATAGAATGTAACCATTGCAATGTGGGGCAGAATGTTCCGTGTCTGTTTATAAGTGATATTGTAGCAGCACCAGCTAGCAAGAAAAAGAAAAATTTAAGTTGCCATGGAAGTCGGGAGCGGCTTTTATTTAAGATTTCGGATTTTAAAAATTGGTAGAATTGCAAGTTCAAAAAATGTTATGTGTTTTTAAAATGAAATAAAATGAAAGTAAATAAAGTGCAAGTAAAAAAAAAAAAATACAGTCCACTGAAATTTTTGTGACAGGTGTTTTTAATCATCAATAGAATCGTTAAATCAATTATAAACTGAGATAACTAAATTTTCAAACTGTGTGTACAATATATTGAAACTATATACATTGAGCAGCTTAAAACAAGAAGATTCAAGAAAGCAGACTTATTAAGTTTTAATTCAAAATATCATATTGGACAAGTGTGTCATTTTTTGTATAGAATATTTTTAACTTGTGAAGCCCATATGTGTAAGTTTGTCTCAAGTACAGTGAATTTCCAGTTAATGGGATAAATCCGGTGACAATAATCCACGGTTAACCCATATCATGGTTAATCCAACAGTAGTTAAAAACAAACATAGGAAAGATTAATAGCCCTTATTTTAATTAACAGAAAATCTTTCTGTATGCTTAAGTAGCTTTATTGAGAATAAGTTATTTGGTTTTGTAAATTAAATCGGCATTCAAAACAAAAACACAAGGAAGAATGTTTTTGCTTATTTTTGTATTTTGATAGAAATGGATGGGAAACATAAGACTGATGTCTGCACACTTAATTTATTTTTACTGGGTGATTCAACAATATTTTTCTATTCCAGATTATGTACAATTATATACTGTTATGGATAAAAACAATCCTTAAATACTGTGATATTATCCTCTATCACAGATGTTATGCATTTTCTGCTCCTTTCTCTTATTTCCATAGAGCTTTTGCTTCATTATGATGGTTTGTGATGGTAGTTTTTCCATCATTCTGCAATAAGCAAACTTTACATAATTTGCCTGCTATTAATCAGACTATGCTTTTAATTCAAGTATGAATACTGAAATAATTTTAATGTGTCCTTATACCAAATTTTTAATACTTTTAAAGCAGCTATCTGGCATTTAATTTTGTCATGCAATGTTGCCAAAATATTTTTCTTCTAAACTGTAGTTTATGGAGAAAAGATCAAATATAGGCGGGGAGAAGGTATTTTATGATTATCCACACCCTTGCTGAAAAGTCATGAAAAAGTATTCATGATTCAAAGCAGTATGTCGGCAAAATAATTATGTGGCAATCCTTGATGTTGCCAAAAGTATTTATGTGGTATTTCAGCTATACACAAAGTACTTATCTGTTTTGATCAGTATGCAAAGTTAAAGTTGTATGGAGCTGATTATGAACAATCTTTGATGTTTTTTTAAGCAAAAAAGTGTAAAAGTCAAGTGTTTTATTACTAATATTTTTTACTTTTTTAATTTTATTGTCTGATTGCTATTGTATGGAATTCTTATAAAAATTATAATTTATTCATGTGTTTACATTTTCCTTTATTTGTTGTACAGGTAAAGATTGTATCATGCCTGAAAGTTTAAAGAGGGTAGAAAAGCTTGCTGGCAAGTCACTTATCTTTTATAAAGTGGATCTATTAAACAAAAATGCATTAGAGCAAATATTTCAAAAGGTAATTTGGTTTGTTCTCGTGCAGATTTTAAGTTCATTTTTTATCTTTCATTATCTTTATCTGCCTGTGCATCTTTTATGTATGTATATGAAAAATTATATGGGTGAAAATTTTAGCCTTGGTTTTTTGATAAACCTCTCATTTCACACTAAGGAATGCTACTCAAAAATAAATTATTTGCATTCTGTTCATAACTATATATAGTAAATATTTTTTGTGTTAAAATTAGGCAAAACTCTTAAGTTTCATGAAAATTTCTGTGGGGCACGCAGCTTTATACCTTTTTCCCCATTTTCTTTTCCAACCTTTTTTTTTTTTTTTTAATAGCAAGTAGTAGACAGTATATACAACCAGTTCATATTATCAGGAGTTCAGATTATACATTGTGTATCTAATGGCATTTTAAATTAGTTCGAGATAGAGCATTTTGAATTACGAATTTCCTTAATTATGTCTGTTATTTACAGTAAAAGTTATTGCAGTACTTATGATTAGAAGATTTTTAATTGCAACTGGGAGAAGTAAAAAGATTACGGTTCTCAAAATGATTTCAGTTTGCTTTTCCAATGATTGATAGGACATACATTAATTTGGAAATAATGCAATTTAAAGAGATTTATTATGAGAAGTTACTATTTTTAAAGGAGGAACAACCACATGAAAATAGAGTTTTTAAGAGACTATTTCAAATTAAAAGTTTGTTTTATGTATTTTTAATCTTGCATATATTTGTATATATGTATATTCCTTCCATAATTTACAGTCACCAGCTGTGTCAGATGTTTTACTACTGATGTGCAACTTTCTTACTACAAAAATTTTTTGTGTGTATTTTATTTTTTTACTCTTATGTTTGAGGTAATTCTATTTTAATAACATCCATTTTTTTTCTAAAATACTTATATTTTCAAAAATAATTATATTTAAAAATTAAACATTAATATACATGTAGCATAACAGATTTGAAACAACTAATCTACTAAAATGTAGCTTAACTGTAATAGTAATAATAATAATAATAATGTTCAGATTTATCAAAAAATTAAATGATGTGCTTATATAAGTATTATACAGTACACAATCCGAAATCCAGACTCGTCGGGACTTCGGCAATTCCGGATTTGAGATTTTTCCGGATAATAGATCATCAATTTAAATCTGATAAGATGGCATGCAGAAATTATACAGTTAAAAATATGAAATCGTAATTTATAAATAAAGAACAATTATGATCTAAAGGGCATCAAAATTAAAAAAAAAAAAAAAAAAAAAACTTAATATTTATTTGTTTGCTTTATTAAACATTTCTTTCAATGTAAGTTGCTTCCATAAAAAATTCAAAAGTTCCTTTTTTCTTATGTCATATACAGTTGACTTTCCAATACCATACTCCTCGCATAATTTTGAGACGGATATGCCTTTATCCATTTTTTGCAGCAATTGCACTTTTTGTTTAAAGGACATCGAAACATGGTTTCACTTTGTAGATCCTTTGGCAGCTCCTGAACTGGAAACTCTTTTCTATATAGTTGAAAGTTCAAGCTTAATTTTTATAAAATTGCTGTAATAATTCTGCAAAATATAATAAGCTGGATCAAATTAGAAGATTAAGGAGCAGCGCAGTCTGCTGCATTAACTGAAATGCCTTAGAATCGGATAAGATAATTTTAGTCTAGCTTAATAGCGTCTGTTATACATTATTGGCTGTGTATCACAAGATTGGCGACGAAAGCCAAGTTGTTCTGCTAAATATTGTCTTGATCCTATTGTGTACTGAATTAAGCCTGAATTGTATTAGTTATTTACTATACCTACATTTATTTCTTGCACATCCTTAAAACTAAAGGGCTGGTGCTAGATACCACCTGGTGCAGTCTCTAAATTCTGCTACAAAGAGCCCTCCTAATTTCTAAATTTTTGCCGTGCCTAAACTTTGGACCCCAGTGCTTTCCCCCTCCCCAATTATAAAAAACTTCTCATCCCTTAATTTTACCGCTCAGTGCTTCCCCAAATTCCAAAAATTGTGTCTTCCCTAAATTCTGCCGCCGCTTCTGGGTTTATTGTGAGTAACGTATCAGTTATTCTTAATTAAAATAGCACTAAATGTAATCTCTTGGCCTATGAGTTTCATTAACAAAATCTATTTTTAGCATATGAAAAGAAATTTTTGTTGAATTTTTCCTCGTCAACATTTCTTAGAGCATTTAAAAAATCTATAATCATCGCCAAGCGTAATGCTAGCAGAAAAGCTTGCCTTACTCTTGTTATTCAATTGCTAATATAAAAAAAGTGTAGACATCACTGCATGAGTTATTACTGAAGCTGTCATGTATTGATAAGCATGCGGTGTTAAAAGCAAAATATAATAAATAATGACTCGCCAGGTCGGCGTCAGGGATATAAAATATGTGAATGTTTCTGTTTGAGAAGTAATGCCAAGGAGACACTCTGCAGAGCCAAATTATTAATCTCACAAATTTATGCATACATGATTGTTTTTTCATAATGGTGTATTTTATTTAGCACCTAAGTGAAATTAAGATTCGGAATTTTTAAGTGGAAATCTCCACACGTTTTATTATGGAAGGAAAAATCAAATGTGCATGCTTAAAGCATACCAAAAAAAAAAAAGTTTGGGGCTTTGAGGTCCGGATTTTAGATTATTCCGGATTATGGACGCCCGGATTTCGGACTTTGTACTGTATTAAATCCTTTCTCTTCCATCTTTAAAATTTAATCATTCAGCAAATTTGCAATCCAAATTTTAGTGCTTTTATACGATTTTACTCCCACTTGCCACTGCTTGGATACGATTTTACTCGCACTAACATGTCTAAGTAATCTTTCAAATGATTTCTTTGTTTAAACTTTATTAAATTCATTGAACTGAAACCTCATTCATTGTCAACACTAGATGCCAAAAATGTTCCACTAATATCCATTAATTTTGAATGTTCAGAAAATTTTTCACTATGTAACGTGAATAGTGGCATTCCATGAGTCATAATTTCAAAGTTGTTTGTTTCGTTTTCAGGAGTCACGTTGGGAGAGCATTAGAATTTCAAATCAAAACTTCACAGAAATAACATTTATTAACAATAAAATTAGATATAGTATATTACTTTCGCCTATAGCGGCCATGAAACATAATCAAGCATCAAAAAGGTATGACATGCGTCATTTTTCATGTTCAAGCGTCAAGTAGAATATTTTTCATCGGCACGCATCAAGAGCGCCACCTATCAACCGAAAGACGGAACATACTCCGCCCCGATGAACATTGGTTCATTACAACATTATTATAAAGATCTTCAATTTTACATTTAAACAAGTTTCCCAAACGTTCAACAGTGTATCATATAAAATAACAATACATAATGACAAATTTAAATTGAATAACAACATTAAATTTAGCACAAATTTTTACAAATAAAGCATACTTACAATCTCTAGAAGGAAAACAAAATAATGAAACTGCTAAATTACCATAATCCACAATTGTGGTCCATTCTCTGAATCTGAAACATAATTGAATTAATAATAAGTAAAGACACAAATTATGAATATACAATTAAGGTTTTTTTTTTTTTTTTTTTTTTTTTTTTTTTTTTAAGAGTCTTATTCACTCAATGGTAAGCAGGAAAAGTTTATGTATAGGACACTTCATTTTGCCCAATAAAGTTTTTAGTTTCACAACACGAACTTTTTCATCAGCACCAGGATATAGTTCTAAGTCACCACTTTAATGGAGGCAAATTTTCGTCCTTTATTAAGACTAAGTCATTGAGGGCCAAATTTGGTTTATCCCTCAACCATTTGGTATGCCCTTTGTAATTGTGAAAGATAATCTCTAGACCAACGTTTCCAAAAGCTCTGGAAAATTTGCTGTGTCAATTTCCATCTTTCAGCAGGGGTTAGCTTATTATTTGTAAGATCAGGTTCAGGAATTGCTGTTAAGGTAGTCCCAATTAGGAAATGTCCAGGTGTTAAAGGATTAAAATCTTCAGGCTCAGATGAGATGGAAACTATTGGCCTAGAATTCAAACACGCCTCGATTTGTGTAATTAAGGTGTGAAATTCTTCGTATGTTAGAACCTGGGTCCCAATAGTCCGCTTTAAGTGAATCTTCATTTGTTTCACTCCAGCCTCCCAAAGGCCTCCAAAGTGAGGGGCAGCAGGAGGATTGAAGATCCATTGAATATTTTCACCGCTCAGTAGTAGTTTTGAAATGCTTCCTCAGAGAAGAAAGTGTAGCTATGTATCTTCTTAATTCTCGATCAGCCCCAACAAAGTTGGTTCCTCTATCTGAAAAGATTTTCTTGGGTTTTCCTCTGCGTGACACAAATCTTTTCAGAGATGCTAGGAATGCTTCAGTTGTTAGATCACTGACTACTTCTAGGTGAATGGCCTTTGTGGTGAAGCATATGTAAAGGCAAACATAACATTTATATCTCGTTCCTCCCTCTTCCCTCTTCCTTCCTAGCTTTAATTAAAAGGGGGCCTGCAAAATCTAGTCCTGTATTCGAGAATGTTCTATCCGGCAATACGCGAGAAGCAGGTAGGTCGCCCATTATCTGACTGGATGTGCTTGTTCGATTTTTTAAAACATTTTATACATTTCCAAATTATTTTTCTTACAATTTCTCGGCCATTAACGATCCAATATTTCTGTCGCAGAGCAGATAATGTTAATGTGGCTCCTCCGTGAAGGTTCACTTCGTGAAAGTGTTTGACTATCAATTCAGTAACTTGGTGACTTTTGGGAAGAATGATTGGATACTTTGTGTTTTCTGAAAGATTCGAGTTACAGAGTCTACCACCGACTCTAAGGATTTCTTCTCTATCAAGAAAAGGATTTAATTTCAGGATTTTACTGCTGAGATTCAATTTCTTCCCTGCTTTCAAAAGTCTAATTTCTTCTCTAAATTCGGAATTTTGTATGATTTTAAAAATCAAATTGCTTGCCTTATCCAATTCTTGAACTGTTAAAAAACCCTTGA